TTCAGCCAAATCTTTAATATCTTCTCTCAAGCGTCTAGTATCTTGGCCAAAAAGACTTGTACTTAAGAAAATTACATTTCTCGAGTTGCTGTGCTTTCTCCAACCCATGATGTCTTAGGTTGCCTCTACTGCTCCTACAATTCTTGTTGAATAGTGCTCTCTTTCTGAAACATACGTAGTTCTTTTATAGTATCCTTGATTTTGAGCCTGGATGTTTTTCAGCAGAATTTTGGCCTCATCGTCATTGTTGTATAATGGTTTAGGTAGTAAAAGAAAAGGTGTAAACAAAAATAAAGGAACTGTTTGGGCACTTTTTGAGACTGATCTTTATTTCAGTTTAAGTTAAAAGTAAAAATTATTCTAATTGAAGGCAGGTATTCATATCTTATTGAGTCAGTGGCTTGATATCTTCTATTGTGATCTTTCTTTTGTATGTCTGTCATAGATTATTTTTTATTCTGGGAATTCCTCACTGATTTGAATAACGTTATTTTACGCGCTATTTCAATTATGTGAAAGATTAGCAATATTCCTGACATTGGATTGGATTTGGTTATTTTAGTTGATACTTCTTCTTATCAAAGAACTCTCATGAATACAATACATATTCTAAAAGAACATGTTTAATTGGAATTGATTGTATGATCTTATTTAAATAAACTTGTATTTTATTTTATTTTAATTATAATCTTGTATGAAGACTGTTTTGCCAAATATGAAATAGAAGACAAAAACTACAAAAAGACGATAGTTGTGAAACTAAAGATTATATATGACTTTATTAATAAAAAATATTAAGGGTATTTATACTTTTTGAATGTCTGGGCCTTTACCGCTATTTCAATTGATCGGTTAAAAGAATGATATGGAATATAAGGAAGGATAGTGGATAATCAATAGCCGCTGTCTACTTGACTAATCAAGGGACAATGAAGTAATTAAACTATTGATCTAACGATAATTATAGAATAGGATTGAACTGCCGTTGTTGTAATCAGGTTCCGATATAGTCTTTTAGAACGCTGGTAGGACAACAGGGCAAGATTGGCTATTGCAGAATTCTCACGTTTATTAATAGAGATCTGGTTAGACTATAATTCTGCAGTATCCAAGTTTATCCATGAATGTTCACTTTATTAGTTGTGTGGATACAACAAAGACTTATATTTATTAATGTCAGCTACAATCAGTTACTGTTCTACAACAGTCATCTTTAGCAAGATACTTGGCAAGGTATCTTACAGCTTGGGGAACATGGTTGTATTGTATGTCCATTGAAGTACGAAAGACAGCCAGTAGGTAAGGGTTGTAATTATTTACATATGCATCGCCAACATCTCGTTTATACAGTAGCGGACAAAACTGGTGCACAAAAATGAAAATCAGTATTGCATCTCCGCCATATGTCTGCGACTTTTGTGGCACTGTTACGAGCCTCAATTCATTCTCAAATACAGACTCAGGTCGAGCCGTTGCTACGGCAACCACTTCAGATCAATTGGAATAAGCACCGCAGAACTACTACGCAACTACTGCGGTTACTACACAGAAACCTATAAATATCCCACATTTTTATATGAATAAAACATTATCTTTAATATAGAATAATAATCTACTTTATTCTTCTTTCCTACTTGAAGTCTCCTGTCCATTTAGGCTACTTATCAAACCCCGACTTCAAGACTTATTTTAGCATATACCATCTGAAAGGCAGTCTAAAATATACATTATGATATGTAAACCGGAACTGTGTCGGACATCCCTCAGGCATAAGGTCATTTTTAGTGATTTTTTGAATATTTCAATTTTCGCCAAAAATGTAGTACTTGTCTAACCTTTTTTCAATTTTCCTCATATCTCTCCCGTTTGCAATCAGATTTCACAGTATATTAATGAACTTTAGTATCTCTTAAAAAGTTTATAAACCGATGCTTATTTTGTATTTCCCATTGAATTCTCCCTTTTGTTTTCACCTTATTCACTATGACAAAGTACTAGCCTTATATGCTTAAGAAAATAAGCAACTGTAAAAGCGAAGCTCTGAGATTTCGAATACACTTAGTTCGTATGGCAGCAGATCTTTTTAGGGTAGCAAGGATCTCCAAATGGACAATCAACAGGATAAGAAAGGAAGAAAAGCACATCAAGACTTGTGACAGTGGTAGTCGACCGGTCGTAGTCAGCAAAATAACTAATGCAATCATCCGCCTAAAGTTTCGACAAGGACCTTTACGCACAGCTTCTGATGCTCAGCTCTTTTTGAGGTCCTTAGGATACAGTATTAGCAAACTGTCAGTCAGAAGGCGCTGTAGGAAGCTAGATTTTGAGTCTGGAGCTAAGGAATCGAAGATTTCCATTAGCTGTATAAGCCAGAAAAAGCGATGAAAGTGGTATCACGACAAACCATCGCATACTATAGAGGGCTGGAAGTCCATTATATTTAGCAATGAAAAAAACATGAATGTTATGAGTGCAGATAGTATACACTAATATTGAAAGCAAGTCAAGGAACCTTAGCGATCTTTTTACGGTGATCAAACAATGAAGCATGCTGGCTGCTCTGTTACATTTTAAGGCTGTATTAGATATTGAGGACCAGGATATTTGTGTCAAGTATACGATGCTGTAATAAAGTCATAGGTATACACATGTATTTCGCTTACTACATACCACAAAAGTCTAGGGTATAGTGGTCTAAAATATCGTAATCTCTCGTTTCAGCATGACAATGACACAAAGCACAAGCCAAGGCATGCCACAAACTCAATATTTGATAGCAGGGCTTCTGTGCTAAAGGGTTAGTTACAACTAATCCCGGCTTAAGCCTTCTTAAGCATGTCCGGTGGCAATTGAAGGCAAAGCTATGACGATACGACACTAGACCAAAAAGGATAGGTTATCTTTGGAAAAGAATAGTTAAATAGTTGGGCTCTTTTACTGAAAGTGACATATACGCATACTACTGGCATATGGCAAGAAGAATGTTGGATGATATCAAGAGATGAGATGATTATACAAAATCTTAAATTTTAGACACTTTTGCGGTTTTTAGGAAATATAAAATTTTATAAATAAAAAGCATGCTCTTCGCTCAGTTTTAACAATGTCATGCTAGGAATACACGTAAATTACATTGACTAGTATATCTTCCTTCTAATATAGCTTCACGACTATCGCAATTACCATGAGCAAGTACAGTTGTTGGAATAATTGTTCGAATGTTTTGCAATTTTATACATTCTGCTTTGTATCTCTGCAGTCAGATACAATAGAGCTACGTACAATACCTCATTAGAAAGCGACAGCTGTCGGATATAACATATAAAAAGCTAGCATCACGGAATTACTTCCGTATATAGTAAGATCAAATTGCGTCAAGCATATGCATTCGAACAATTTTTCCAACTCAATGCATTCTATAATGATGATATCGTTGCCGCTTCTGACATCACTAATACAGCATTACTAAATGATGTAATAATGAAACAATGCTTTTGCTTTTAGTCAGAGCTTAAAATATATAAATAAGGCTGGATTTTGCAGTGTTTCCCTTCTATCTCGTACAGCCTATGTTATGTTCTGGTAAAGGTAATAACAAAGATAAACCAAAAGAATACTTTTTGAGACTGAACTTTATTTAAGACAATCTTAATTGTCAAAAAGAAAACATTACAAAGTCTACTATTTATATTCTTCTATCAATTGACGGGTAAATGAGTAGTTATGAGCGTAGATCCAATCATTGACACGTTTGATTGAATAGTGATCACTGAATCGATTATGAAAATTTTTAATTCGTTGTTTTTATAGATCTTATTGTTCTTTAACTGATCTGGGAGAGTTGTCCCGTCTTCATTGAGAGGAAAGATATATCTATATGAAATGCCTCCAGTCAGATCAAAGTTGACTAGGTACCTGATCCATTATTATTCATTTACAGAAATGATGAATAGTAAAGATCATGACTTATTTAGTGTTCATGTTTACTTTATAGAATGAATCTAATAGTGATAGTTTTATATAAAACGAAGAAGAATATATTTTATTTAATAAAGATTTAAATTATTATCTTTTATCAATTTTAATATACTTCTTTTAGTTGTGATTATTCAATGTCCGTTATGATCAGACTCTGTTCTACAACAATTTATATGTTTTTGTATTTTATGATCTTGTTCTGTTTTTGGTATTTTGAGTGCTTGTTATAACATAAGAGGCGGTCGTTGTATAGTGTAAGGTGGTTGTTGCAAACTGTAAGGCGTTCGTTATAAACTGCAACGATTTAAATTCCGCCGTTTTGTTCTTGCGTGTTACAACACTACTGTTATTTTGTAGTATGGTTGGTTTAGTTTGAGTGTTTTAGAGAAGTTTTTCTTGAAATTTTTAAAGTAAGGTACTGTAGTGACCACCAGATCTTTTAATTAAGATCAAATAAAGGTAAAGATAAAAAAAAATAAAGGGATCAGGAACTTTTTATGAGAAGGTTGCCTGTTTATTGAATAAAATATATAAAATAAAATGTGAGTAGAACTGTACTGTCCTTTTTCTTCATTTAAATAGTTGGGATATTTATATTGTTGTAATAGCTTGTTTTCTATTTAGGCCTTGTGTATTTATAAAGGGTTTAAAGTAGTTTTGAATATGAAGTAAAGTTATATTTGAGTATTTTCTTGATAGGAGTGACCACCAGATCTTGTTTTAAAGTAGATCAGTCTTGATATAAAGGTAATAGTAGCTTGATATGAGCTTTAACAGTGATACAATGA